TAGTCTCTGCCAGCCTTCCCCACATTCCCACGTACTTGGCCTCCTCCAGCTCCTCCGTGCGCTGAATGGCATCTGTCTCATATTTGGTTCTCCACTGGGCCACTTCGCTGTTGGCCTTGGACAGGGCACGCTGCAGCTCCCCCTTGGCTTCCTGCTCCTCCTCATATTGTTCCCGGAGCAAGTCACAGTCGTGGCGAGCAGACTGCAAGGCGTGGGCCAGGGCGTTCTTGGCCTGTGGGAAAAATAGTATTGTGAAAATGAATGGACATATCCTGGGAAATCTGACTGTAATGTTGATGGACACTTGATAATTCTGCTGTGAGTGATGGGAAGATACTGAATGAGAAAGGAATCTCTGGGAATTTGCCAAAGAATTAATTGATAGATTCAGGGAAGGGGGAGCAAATCTAATATGGGAAGATTTGCACTGAATTACCTAAGTGGGTTTTTTTTCCCTCTAAGCTTGTTGATTCTGTAATATCGTATGTATCTGAAGCTCATCCTAGACAGGAGGAATTCAATGGGTAAGAGAGAATTTGGAAAGCCTTCTCACCTTTATCTCTTCCTCTAAGTGTCTCTTGAGTTCTTCAATCTGTTGGGTGAATGCCTGCTTGCCTCTTGACAGCTGAGAAATCAGAGCATCCTTCTCCTCCACCTGACGTGAATATTCACCTGGGAGAGTGCAGATGAGTAAAAGAACCTTTTTATGACTTATTTAAAAGTGTTAACCTTGATAATAAAATGCATGTTAAAAATATTTTGAGTTAAAAATAATATTTCTTTTGTGAAATCCTAATCACCTACATCTATGCATATCTCTGAATACGCTCAAGTGTTTCTCTTAGAGGCAAGAAATGAGTTACATCATGCTCCTTTCTCCAATATCTGACTAGTCTTACTGTATGTTTGCACTAAGTCTAGTGGTCGCTTCAAGGCTTGAGCTTACAGAATGAGTACTACATGGTGTATGTGCTCAGGTATATCACTGTCCTCTTCTGAATGTCTCCTGGGAAGCAGAAGGATGAAGTCTAGGTTATGAGATAGATGAATTATTCTTTGAAAATGCCGTCATAGAATCATAGAACAGTCCAGGCTTGAAAAGACCTTGAAAGCTCATCTGGACCAACATTTCATGGGAAAGGGAGCCTAGATGAGATTATTTAGCCTCCTGTCCAGTCATGTATTGAAAACCTTCAGTGATAGAGACTCTACCATGCTCCTGGAGAGGTTGCTCCAGTGACTGGTTGTTCCAGCCCCTTAAACATATTATTGGTCTTTCTCCAGGATGTCTGTATCTCTCCGGTAGTGGGGACATAGCACTTCAGGTGTGGCCTCACCTATGCTGTGTAGGGGGATCACCCCCGTTAACCTGCTGGCAACAGTTCTCCTAATGCAGCTCAGGATTCTGTTGGCCTTCTTGGCCTCAAGAGCATATTTCTGGCTCATGTTCCACTTAGTTTCCACCAAGAACCCCAGGTCTTTTTGACCCTTTTTTAAAGCCCCAGGTCATATACAATGTTCTCTTAAAACCCACAAATGTCTTACCGGATTCTGTTTGTAGCCGAGCTCTCTGAGCACTGATGTCATTAATTGTGCGTTGCTGTTCTTCCTCCTTTGTCTTAATCTCACTGAGTTGATCTTCTAGGGAGCGACACATCTTCTCCAGATTTGCCTATTTGCATGAAGAACAGAATAAAAGATGATTGGTGGTTCAACATGTAGTTGCTGAGAATCTGAATTCTTACGAAGGGCAAAAAAAGAAACCAATAATTTAGAAGTAAAGTCAAAATGTCTCAGTTAACTCCTATATCTTTCTACGAAATTTGCATCCCTAATTCTAACATTTGTATTATTTATTAATGTACACTCCATTTTTCCAATAGATAAAAAGAATGATGAGACACTGTAACATGAGGAATTATTTTAAATTTCTGTTTGGATCTTAGTGATTATGTCACTGAAGTATTTAAGAGAGGAAAAGAAAAACAGGAATAAAAAGTAAAGGGTAGGGTTGGATTACTTTCTATTTTAGAAGAAACTGGAAAATTGATAACATCAGTGTCTCTCATTTCACTATCATAATATTTTGAACCAAGCAGTGAGACCCTATAGTTCCTTAGGTTAGGGGCTTCAGGTGAAGATTTTAGCTCTCACCCAAAGGATACAATATATTATTATAGTAATACTGAAATATATAAATTCAAATTCAAGTCGTAAAGCGCAACTCTTTATTTTAAAGTGCGACTAACTTAAATTCTATGTTAAAATATAAATACTTGATTATGTTGGAATTACTGTAAAGCACCTTGGCTTTGGAGACAGACTCCATGTTACTGGCCAAGTCGTCAATCTCCATCTTCAGCTCACTCTTCTCCTTCTCCAGCTTCTGCTTCACTCGTTGCAGGTTGTCGATCTGCTCCCCAAGCTCAGCTGTGCTGTCCGCGTGCTTCTTCCGCAGGGCGGCAGCCGTGGCTTCGTGCTGCAGCGTGGCCTCTTCGAGGTCGCGGCGCATCTTCTGAAATTCTGCCTCGCGCTTCTTTTTCATGTCGTTCTGGGGTGGGGTAGCCCCTCCTGCTTCTTCCAGGCGCTCGCTGATCTCCTCGAGCTCCCTCGAGAGGTCAGCACGATGCTTCTCTGCCTTTGCCCGAGAGGCACGTTCAGCCTCAATTTCCTCCTCCAGTTCCTCTATACGAGCCTGGGGAACATTAGGGACCCTTCACACCCAGGCCCTCCTCCTTCCGGACCTGAGACTGGGTGAGAGAGGGGGAGGAACAGAGACTTGCCTGCAGCTCCTTGATCTTCTTCTGTAATTGCATGCCCAGGGCTTGTTCATCCTCGATTTTGCTCTGGATCTGGCTGATTTCAAAGTCTTTCCTTTGGGCAAAGCAAAGCAAATCGTGTTAGAGCTCAAAGAAAACAGACAAGTGCACCAGCCCAATATTCAGGTGCCCCACGGCCACACTTACTTCTTTAGTTTCTCATCCAGCTGCTGCTTATCATTTTCCAAGTCCATTATGGATTCCTGGTTCATTTTCAGGTCTCCTTCCAGTTTCCTTTTAGCTCTCTCAAGGTCCATGCGCAGTTTCTTCTCTTGCTCCAGGGACCCTTCCAACTAAACAGAACAAGACATCAGTGCTCTGCAAGCCAGGTCTAACTCCATACCTGTCCTGTTCTTCTGGGCAATCATGCTTACATCGTCCACTTGCTGCTCCAGCTTGGTCTTCGCTTTGGTCAGTGTATTGACTTTGTCCTCTTCTGCCTGCAGGTCGTCCAGTGTCTGCTGATGGGCCTCTTGGAGGGCTTTCTTTTCTTTTGTCAGCTTGGCAATGGTCTCATCCAGGGCTGCCATCTCCTCTGTGAGGTTTTTCACCTTTAAGAAAGGAGCAAGTGTAAATAAAGGAAGCAGATACAGAAGTCCAGTAGCAGCACAGTGTTCTCTTCTGAAGCATGAGTGACAGGTTCTGCCTCATACCTTATTTTCCGTGGCATGTTTTTCCTTCTCAACCTTGGCCAGTGTTAACTCAAGGTCATCAATATCTTTCTTCAGCTCTGAACATTCATCCTCCAGTTTCCTCTTCTTGGCTGTCAGCTCAGCATTCATCTCTTCTTCATCTTCAGCCCTTTCAGTGACCTCCTTAATTTTGGCTTCCAGTTGGATTTTGTTTTTGATGAGCTGTTCACATCTTTCCTCAGCATCAGCCAAACCATCGGCTTCCTTCATAATTAATTTAAACAAAATAGTTTTCAAATTTTATTTTTTTTTTTACTGATTTACAAACAAGGAATTCTTATTTTCAAAGCAGCTTTACAACGTCCTTTGCAGTTCAACTCATTATTATGAGAGTATTTATCTATTTCAGACTGCCTCCAGCCCAGAAAATAAAGGAGTATATTATCACACTATAAATATAGGCTCTGAGCTTTTCTTTTTAGACTCTTTAACTGCTTATGGAACTCCAACTATCTATCCAACTCTATCTCCAATTTGAAGATAGAGCCTGAAATTAAATATGGCAGTATCTTCCTTGTATCTTTTCATTATTTTACTTATGTTGCATTTGACTGGACTGGCAACTGGGATAGAATTCTACTGAAGAGAATCACATAGGCAGATTTTTCAGCATACAGCATTTTAAACTTGAATGCTAAAAACGCTAACAATCAGCTGAGAAAATCTATTACAACTCTCCCCCAAAGATTTACTGAGCGTGAATTTAATTTCTATTTTTGGCAAAATTTTGTGTTAAGATCACTGTTTCAAAGGCAGCAGCTGAATCAGGCATGTTTCTAGCCCTTGTGGTCAAGAACAGTTTGAAAGGGAGACTTTTGTTTACCAGGGCAGTATCAATTACCTGAGTTTACATGCATGCTAAGATGCAACTTACTAAGAGGTAACCTTTGTTTTCTACATACTGTTTGTTCTTTTCCTCTTTGTTCTAGTGAAGACCAATGACACTATCTAGGCAGAAGATGTTTTACAGCTCAGCAAGATAGCTGGGTTGGAGTTTGTCTCATGTAGATTTAGATATCTGTCATGATGCCAAGATGCAGTCCATTCAATCAAAAAAAGTTACATTTTTTGATGAATTATGTCATAGTCTAAAAGGGTGAGTTTCTTCTTGCTGAAGATGATGAGGACCTGAGGCTACTAGCTCAGATGTAGACTTTTAGACTGTAGACATGAAAATGGGGTCAGATGAATCCTAATCCTTGTTGTTAAAGACAGTTTTAAGGGGCTTATTGTTGCTACCTTTTTATTTCCAGGAAAAAGGGGAGGACTCCATTTTCATCATTGGGACCATAAATGCTAGAAAAATGCCTGACAATCTCAGCCCCTCCTACTCCATCTGAATCCACTTGTGACTCTCCTAATAAAAGGTGTTAATAAGACCTCTCGACCACCTCCATTGATCAGATGATAACATATCAAAATTATGTAGTGTAGGAAGTTTTATAAAGACATGATAATTGCTGCTGCAAGCTGCCATGTATGATGTAAAATGTCATACTGTAAACTGTAGTATTTACTAACTGGAAATTGATGACTTCTCTCTTGATTTAAAAGTGTAACGAATCAGCTGCAATAATTCATTGCAAATTTATTAATATTTGTAGATTTCAGCTTAGCTTTTATATATGGTTTTCCTTCCTATCTCATAAAATATGTGTATGTTTTAAAAATAAATACTGTTTTGGAAAAATGTGTCTGTTGCTGAGACGTTTGGGATCATTTTACACAGGATATTACAAGCCAAAAACATTAGCAATACTCACAGCCTGCACTTGCAGCTGCAGGTCATTTTTCTCCTGCAGCAGGGCCACCATTTTCTCCTCCAGCTCCTTCCTCTTTGCCTCAGACTTTGCAAGCTCTTCCTTGGTTTTCTCAAACTCTTCTTTCATGTTGGCCATCTCCTTCTCAGATTCTGCACTCTTCAGCAAGGGCTTGATCTTGAAGAAGAGCTTCATCCAGGGCCAGTGCTTCACATTCATGAAGGCACGAATATTGTACTGGATACAGAAGATGGACTCCCTGAAAGATAATAAAAAATATGTTACATATTTTTTAATGTATAATGCATATTTCATTGTATACATTGATATGCATAACATGAAGTTCTACATATAATACTTTATAGCTATAGTTCTATATATCTGTTTGTATAAAAACCATTATATATTATTGAATATATATTTATTAAGAATATTTAGAATATTTAATATCTAAAAATACATGTATATCTGAATATATGTATTCAAAGATAAGGCAGTATCTCCCTTGTATCTTTTCATCATTTTATTTATATTGCGTTTGACTGGACTGGAAACTGAGAATTCTCCTGAAGAGAATCACTAGAAACCCCCCTAGTGTGATGTCAATTGTCATCCTGTATGGGCAGTTTTGAAGTCCAGGTGTCTGGCTCACTTTGAGGGCCAAAGAAAAGGAGCACCTCCAGAAGGTGACTTAGTCCTTTTCATGAAAGTTACCCAAGGGAAGAAGATACTTCTCTTGTGCCAAAGTATGTGTTTCTCACCTTTAACTTAGACCATATATCTGATTTCTAGACATGCATATAATGTATCCATTTACTGAATTTAGCAACAATTAGTACAAAAGGTGATATAAGTTAAAACCAGTAATTTTTCCTACATCAGGATTTTATACTGCTTCACCTACAGCCAGGGTATACTCCCAAAAACATCCATATTGGTACACTGGATTAATGAGAAATAAATGAGATTTGGCAAGAAGCAGCTTGTTTTCAGTTTTGTTCATGTCACTGGTATCTGATGAGGATTGGCCCAGCAGGTAATTACAAGTATCTACCTTCTCTCCATCATTTTCTTGAACTCCACTCTCATCAGGTAACCCCTGCACATGGCCTGTGTGCGAGTGATGAGCTGTGCCAGCTTTTCATCTCTCATCTCTTCCAGGAGTCCCAGCAGCCCAGCTTTGAAGAACACCTTGAGAAAAGGAACGTTGCAGTACGTAACTGTCAGGTATTGCAAGCACAGTACATCAGTCAAGTAGCATTTGTACCTTGGTGTGACCAAATTTGTACTGTGTGTGGTCCACATCGATGGATCCAAGGAGCTTCTCAGAAGCCTTCTTGCTGTCAATGAACTGCCCCTCTGGGATGGCACTTGCATTAAGCACCTTGTACCTACGGGAGGAAGTAGAAAATGAAGAAGGCCAGATTTCTGAAAGCTCAATCAAACCTGTACCACCTAATGCCATTAAGATTCTCTGAAGGGGGATTAAGAGTGGAAGAGAGGTGAATAAGTCTGAACTCTGTTCCATTGTTTAGAAATCAAATTTTCATGAGCAAATATGTTTTTAGTAAAAACTTTGCACTTTCCTTAGTCCAGAAATTCTTGATACAGAATGGTATCAAGAAATGGTAGTGATTTCCATGTGTAACTGCTGACATATTTCAAATACGCTGTTACATAACGTCTTTTCTCCAAATGAGAACTTTATGTGCGAGAACAAAATATGTAGAAAGGAGAAGCAATTCTTCATCCAAAATAGTGGCAGTGCATACTATCCGAGTATTTGCCACCTGATATAGAACAAGAAGCAACATTTTCTTATTTTATTTGGTTTTCCAACAAATTAGTCTAGAACATTTTGTAGTTTCTTTATTCACATTTCTGTGCTGCGAGTCATCTTACGTTGCTACCCTGAAGTGAACTAAGTCTAAGATAGTCAATTTCGTTTCTAGATAGTTAATTAAAAAATGCTTTATCTCATATACCAGAATACAAAACAAGGAAAGGAATAAATTCTTTGAAAATGCCTGTTCTTCTAGTTAGACAGAAACTGGATGACTAACTCGGACAATTGACATTGGTATGCCTAAAAGTAGGTACAATGAACCCTTTCCATAACTCTGACAGTAGTTAAAACGATCAGAATATGCAAATTATTCAGCACTGATGGATATGGTGGATGGTGGATGACATGGAATCTGACCTCTGTTTAAAATCTGCATAGAGTATTCTACTGGGGAATCCTTTCCTGCAAATTCTAATCCCTTCCAGCACACCGTTACACCGCAGCTGATGCAGCACCAGTTCATGTTCCATGGCACCTAATAAATGACATAATGAATTGGTACTTCATTGTACTGCACAGAGAAAAACAGATTTATCAAATCTTTGAGCTTTAACAACTTACCAGGTGTTTTTGTTTCATTAGGAATGAGGCATCGCACAAAATGGGGATGTGTGCTCCGCAGATTGCTCATCAGCTTGTTTAAATTTTCCTTAAGAGTAAAAGCAAAGACTCAAGTTCAAAAATGTCACTTACACAATCTCAATATTGGATGGAGTAAAAAATCTGTGATAAAACCATGATCAGTATTTTTTTTTTATGGAACTGAATGGCAGTTCCATAAAAATTTAGAGAATGGCAGTTCTTTAAAAATACTTTCAAGGATTCAATAAGAACCCTTCTTTATTAAGAAGCATGTGCCTTTATCCTTTCTGAACATAAAAATTTTGTATATTAGATCAATCTAAAGCTTTTCTGAACTAAATTTTCTATATTTTTTTCACAATGAAATAAAATTTACAATGTTTATTCTACAGTACCCGGAAAAGAGCTGAGACAGTCTGGAAAGAAGAACCCTTCTTCTTGCCGCCCTTCTTGCCACCGCCACCACTCTCTAAACAATAGTATTTTATAAAAAAAGAAATGAACAGAAACATGCAGTGAGAACCTGAAGAACTTTGTGTGTTTATCTCAAAAAAAATAGAAAATAATAATATGATCAAAATTTGCAAATGCATACAGTGTTTAAAGATACAATGGAAGGCTTGATTTTTTCAGATTATAGCAGCATGAAAACTAATGACTTCAAGCTGAAGTTAAGAAAATGCAAGCAGGAAATAAAATGTAACATTTTGCATAGCAAGTTACTTAAGGAATTGAATAAATCGCTAGTGAGTACATCAAATGCAGTCTTCAGGTATCTTTACATCCGAGGGTATGCATACATTTAGCATCATGTTGACACATTTGATTGTATTCTTTGAAGTTTTTGGGAGTGCCCCATATGGCAGAAATCTGATTTGTCAGTGAGCGTGTGTTCATGTTGCAGTACAGCTATCTGGTCTTGAAACCTACAGATCTATTAAGGTCTCCAGGGAAATGTAATATCCTCTATTAGTCTGAGTTACTGAGTTCAAAAAAGTAGGTGGGTTTTGGGTATTCAGTTTTTGAAATGTAAATATTATTGCAAAATAATATTGCAAGATGTTTTTTCTGTAAATTATTGTAAACTAATTTCAAAGAAATCACCTGCTTCCGCCCCACCAACCGAGGCAAAGAGTAAGGCCAGTGTTTTCAGGGATGATTTCTGGTACAGCCCCACAACAGTTTCATTCAGGGGATCCTTGTTCTTCTCAAGCCAGCCAGTGATGTTGTAGTCCACTGTTCCAGCGTAGTGCACCAGGGAGAAGTGGGCCTCAGCCTTGCCTTTGGCAGGCTTGGGCTTCTGGAAGTTGTTGGACTTGCCCAGATGCTGGTCATAGAGCTTGTTCTTGAAAGAGGTGTCAGTTGCCTTGGGGAACATGCACTCCTCTTCCAGGATGGAGAAGATGCCCATGGGCTGGAAGAAATAGCAACACATGAAGAAAGAAGGTGTGGAAGCGAGAAGCAGAGAGAATGTATGTGAGAAAGGAATGGAAGACAAAAATTACACAAAAAGCCCACCTCAAAATGTGTAATCTTACGTTTTTCCAGAAAAAACATTTTGTTAGTGGATATGCCATCAGTCATATGAAAACATGCTCAGCCATAAGCTGGAGGGTTGTGATGTAATAAAGATCTAGCATGTAGAAATGCACTATGTGCATGTTAGTTGAAGATGGAAAACAAAATGAATGAAATTAGTAGCATTCAGATGTAAGAAACAGTTTACACTTCCTAAATGCTTTTTCTTGGAAACAAGATAGAAAATTTTTTTAAACATATTCAACTAGAACTTTCTCAGTGTATTTACTCACACAGCATGCATTAAAAAAATGCATTTGAGTATAAACTCCAGAACAGTGACTAGGACTGAAATTTTTGCCCCATGTAAATCATATGTACTTCGCGACAGAATCCCACAAACAGTGAAGTAACAGACAAATGAAAATGTATATGAAATGCTTGGAGCCCAGAAAAAATAATGTGATGTGCTGCATTAAGTGTGAATGTCACACATCAGAGTGGTCTAATTTGAGCACAGAATATTCCTTCTACACTTTACATCTGGAAAACTATTAAGTCTGTACGACCTAAGAACCTTCTCAATGAGCTCAATACAGGCAGCCAGGTCCATCCCAAAGTCAATGAACTCCCATTCAATTCCTTCCTTCTTGTACTCCTCCTGCTCCAGCACGAACATGTGGTGGTTGAAGAACTGTTGCAGTTTCTCGTTGGTGAAGTTGATGCACAGCTGCTCCAGGCTGTTGAACTGCAGGATGCAAAGAGATTTCCTTACTTGCAAAGTTTATTTCCAGGAACACTTTCCATCTTCCAGTAGGTTTTATTTTCAACCCATTAAGGGCTCCGTGATTGGGATTCTGAATTTCTAGTCATGGGACTGGTCAGGTTACTGGCATATTCCATCCTCTAATGTATCTATCCTTTCAGGCTCTGGCACTGTCTCAACATATTTCTGAGCAATGAAAAGAGTTGCGCAGCTTAGTTCAAGTCCAGCTTTTCATCTACTTGAATTTGTATAGGCTGCCAGTCTCTTCCCAAGCATTTGGAGGGAATCTGGGTCCAGCATTAACAAAATTTTCCTTCAAGATGGCATATTTTAACTTACTCAAAATCTGTCTCTGCTATTACCTGTCAGTTGTTCAGCATTTTCGTATCAGTTTTCAATGGAATTTTCACTTCTGCATGCAACAACAGACATCTACAGAAACCTGCAGCCCTTGTGAGATAATATATACTATGAGAACTAGAAGAGTGCCATTCCTACAGGAATGTCAGGATTATTCAATAAATATAAAACAATCCATAATTTAACAAACAAAAAACAAACCCCAAACTATTTCAGTTTCTTAATACCCCTTCCAGGAAAATCATATGAAGATCCTCCTCTTACATCAAAGATCTCAAAGCCAGCAATGTCCAGGACACCAATGAAGTACTGTCTGGGCTGTTTGGTATCCAGCTGTTGGTTGATGCGAACAACCATCCACAGGAACATCTTCTCAAAGACAGATTTTGCCAGGGCACCCACTGAATTGTATACCTTAAGAAAAGTAAAAGAAAAGTTACCATTCAGGGAAAAAAAGTTTAAAGTTTTTATTTCATTAATGTAATTTGTTTTCTATCATTGCTTATTTCTTACCTGCTGCACGGTTTGACCCTTGGTCACGTATTCATTCCCAACCTTGACTCGGGGGTAGCAGAGGGCTTTGAGCAGGTCTGCTGAGTTCAGACCCATCAGGTAGGCGGCCTTGTCAGCAACTAAGGAAACAAGCATACAGCAGGATGGAATATTAGCTCTCCAGTAGATGTATCTTGTAGTAATTCAGAATCATTTCTGCAGAAGCCACATATACTTCAAGTCACATACTTTAAAATGTTGTGATTTTTCTTGGTTTACTGATTTTTTCCCCATTTAATTTGGATGATTTGTAAATGTAGAGATTCTTCCAAATTCCTTTACAGCGAACATGCAAATTTTGAAACAAGTAACTAGATAAACAAAAGGGAAAGGGTCATGAAAATGACAGGTCAAACAGCTCACAATTTCTGAATAAGCAGAAAAGGAAACTGACGGTATCGAAATACCCTGCAGTGAAATTGTAGTGACTGAAACTCTACTGTCATTAGAGAGGGAGAGAGAGAGATTAGTGAACTATTATGCCAAAATTATGAATAGGATATCTTATACAACTTTCATAGTGGGATCCCATTCTCCCTATGGATAAATCTCACACACGTAGGTCTTTTGCAGCTCTCATTTTCTCTGAATCTAGACTATTAAATACAAGCACTTTCCATTTTGCTGCCTGTGTCTTCTCATAGTGAAGATGGTAGAAAGCACCAGTAGTATTTGCAGAGTCCTTTAATATGAGAAGGCCAAACTTCATTAAAGAATATATATATACAGATGATAATTCAGAGCTGCTTCTATTGTATGCATTATTTACAACTAAATATTTAATATACATTTATCACTATAAAGAGTAAGGTATGAAACAAGAACAAAATTGGAATGTAGGTTTTATTTCACTTTCGCAGAGTTATTTTTTAATAAATCGAATTCTGTTATACTCTTCTATAAGTCTTTCCTTTGGTTATATTCATGCAATGATCACAGCTATTAGTTATTGCCTGTTCTAATATTACTCTTCAGCATTATCAGACTCACTGCTATCCTTGTATTCCTTGCAGTCATTTTCACTTATGTCTTAACTTTCCTAAATAAATCCCAAACCACACACATACAAAAAAAAAAACAACTCAAGAAAAAAACCCTTATAGTAC